CTATATAGGCTCGGCTTTTCTCGGCTTGTTGGCTCTTGGCTCGATTCTTGGCTCGGGAGCCATTGTCGTGAGGAGAGTGCAAGCTGAAGAACACAAGAAGGTCCATGCCAAAATTGATGAGCCAGCACAAATGTAAATGACAGTTTTTTTTTTCTTTTATTTTTTTATTTTTTTCACAAAAATGGTGTAGCTAGAGACAAAATTTATTTGTGAATACTGAAAAATAAGTTGCCAACATCAGTTATTTTTGTTTGATAGATATAAGGGAGAATTTATTTTAAACATTTTTTGTGTTTATTATTTGTAGAATCGTGCTACAATGATATACGAGATGACATAAAGTTTGATATAACAACACGCGTCAGTAATTCATTTATTCTTCATATGATGTTAGTTTTAATATTAACAACTGTTTAAATATACACATTATTTAGTGTTGGGAAAAATACGCTGAAATTTCCATGAAGTCGGATCTATAAAAGTGAAATAAAAATAAAAATTGGACACACCAAATTTGATAACGGAGTTCGGTCAATAATGCCTACGTCTCTGGACTACTGCAGATATTTTATTAGGGGAAAAAGAAATACACTCGTGTTTACAAACACTGTCGAAACTCACTCACAACTCACAACACAAATACACACAAAAGCTAAAACTTTTGCTCCGCGTTCCCTTTCTTTTTCTCTCTTTCTCTCTTGTGTTTCTGTATTTTGTTGTGTTTTTGTTCATCTGATTTGCTCAGTATTTATAGATAGGAAATGCTATCAATTTTCCACAAAAGGCAGCTTCAATGTTGCTTCCTTTTTTTCAACTGTCGTGAGCTGTCTAAAGGAGTGGGCAGCTCCTTTTTTTTTTCAACACCAGTGGGCTGCCACTTTATTCATAATTGGTGGATTAACAATCTCCCACTTGAGGACTGATTTCAATTTGTCCTCACACCTTAATTACTGCAGTAGTCTTCTCCGGTCTGTTAATCTAGCAAGCCAACTGAAGTTGAGCACAACTTCAGTTTGTCAATGGTCACCACCTTTGTTAGCATATCTGTTGGGTTCTTGCTTTCTACAATCTTCTTCAATGTCAACACTTCATCCTCAAGCAGAGATCTGATGAAATGATAATGTATGTCAATGTGCTTAGTTCTGGAGTGAAACACTGAGTTCTTTGCCAGATGTATTAATTGCACTCTGACTGTCACTGTGCAAGACACTCTCCTTTTGAGTGAAACCCAACTCTGCTAACAATCCTTGAAGCCATATCAACTCTTTACTGGCTTCTGTCACTGCTACATACTCAGCCTCTGTAGTGGATAGAGCAACAATCTTTTGTATCCGCGACATCCAACTAACAGCTGTAGCTCCGACAGTGAAAACATAACCGGTGGTGCTTCTTCGGTGATCAACTTCACCTCCGAAGTCTGCATCTACGTAGCCCTGTAACTTTAGATCTCCTTTTTCTAAAGTACAAACATTTTTCTGTTGTGCCTCGTAGATATCTCAAAATCCA